CAGCATGTAAATGTAAACTTGGTTATCCAACACTGCCAGCTCAAAATCTGACCAAAGAGAACTGGATCATTCAGACACCTTTCCTGCCTTTCTTCATCCGGATTAACCCGAATGGATGAATACCCTACTTCCTTTGGTGGGGCAATGATGTCTAGGTTCTGTGGAATAGACGAGGATCATTTGGGTGATTTTACAGGAGATCCTGGGTAAGTTACTCGTCTTTCAAGTGTCCGTCTCTACCAACTCTAAAAGGAAGGATTGCACTGGATGGCCGGTGAGCCCGCCACCCCCACCCCCGCGTTCTAAAGCTCCTGTCTAGCGGGACGAGGTGGAGTCCCACCTCTCACCTTCCTTTTTCTTGTTTTGCACAGGGACCATGGCCCAAGTCGCAACGTCTGCTCTGCCACAGGGCGGTGAGGAGTCCCCAGAGAGCAGGATGGCGGTGCGGTTCCTCATGTCTGCCCTCGAGTCAATGGTGAGACGGCCTCACATTTTATGTCATGCTCAGTCGTTGTGGAAATGACCAAAGGGGGGCCATTCCAACAGAACCCTTGATGTTTGACTCCAGGTTTTCATCTTGTCTTTGTAAGTGAGCTAGAGCCTTGTGGGCGTCTTGGGTCATTTTGTTAAGCCCTGTGGATATAAGGACATAAACTCAAGCTTTTCCAAATCTGAAAAAGTTACCTTGGTTATCAGGTTTGGGGGATTCGCTCACCCTTACGCCTGCTGTGAGTTTCCTATGGATCCGTTTTGCACTGTCCTCCAGCTGGACTTCAGGCGGGTGGCCATGTGGCGCGTTGCCAGTCACAGTTGCAGAGAAAGGATGTGTGTGGTAAGCAAGCCCAGGGTCTGAAACCCTCTGCCAGGAAATGACGTCACTCGCATCCTTCAGCTGCGCCAGGAATCAAACCGCAGGCTCAGGGAGAAATGCTTGTGAATATTTCTGCATAGCTTGTCTGACCACTGCACGCCATTCCCATGAGTCCTTTGTGAAAAACTTCCCTTTGTGAGTCGGATGCGGATTTGCAGGGCAGATCACAGGTTTGTTTTAGCTCCTTCACTGCGATCCCAGAACATCGTGTGTCCTACTGTGTCCTGCCCCACTGTGTTTCCCATTTCTACTTCTTCTTCCTAACCCTTGTGAACGTTGTCCTTTGGTGAATGCTGCCCTTTCCCTTTTATCTCAGATGGCTGATGATTCTAAGGTGTACATACCTCACTGTGTGCCTTTTCTCCTTATAGGTCTATCTGTTGGTAGGCGGAAATGGTAGCTCCTGGTGTGAGTTCACGTCTAGACCTGAAGGGTGAGGACGGGCCATAGTCTTGGGGGCCTCACCAGTCTCCATCTAACCAGTAAGCCTGGTATGTTACATGAGTCAACATTTTTCCCGACCCCTTTCTCTGGTACCTTCTAGTATGATCCCTTTCAAACCAGTTGGTAGTGGTAGCTGGGCACCATCTAGTTCTTTTGGTCTCAGGGCTGTGGAGGCTGATCTTTGCGTGGTTCCTTAGTCTGTGGTCTTCGTGGTTTTTATGTATCTTTCCATTCTCTTCTCTGTTCTTTCCTCCGGACAAGGAGAGACCAGTCGTTGCACCTCAGATGACTGCTCTTGAGCTCTTCAGACCCCAGTCCCCACTTACAAAGTAGGATGCAGAGCATTGTCTTTGTGATACCCACTGCTCTTGATGTCCCCCAAGAGCCTTTTAGATTTTAGTCTTCCGCAGATGGAATTTTAAATTCTCATGGAATCTATACGTTCTTGAGCCATAGAGGTTGAAACGGCTTGCCAGAAACTATTGCCCGGATTAATCTTTGACCTTAAACCTTGAGCTGAAACTGCTTTCCTAAAGTCCATCTTAAAAAATATATATATTGGCACATATCATACAATTGAATCATCCAATCATGTGTAAAATCCATCTTTAGTCAAACCATACTTTTGGGAATTATGCTCTTAAAAAGAACCAACCAGCTGTGGGTTTTGACAACAGCAATCCCAATGGTCAGAATAGAAGCTATGTTTTAAAGTCTCTTGGTAATTGCTTTAATTGTTCTATAAGAAACTGTTGTATGGACTCCTGCATGCCCAGAAGTTATTTTGTAAGCTCTCTTCTGGCCCTGTTACCATGGCAATGCATAAAGTACTAGCAGTAAGCTGGGGGATAAAACCATTCTGTAAAGGATCTGTCTTCTCTGGAACATCTTTTACTCCAGCCAGAAACTTTGCCCCTGTTGGCAAATTGTACATTAAATAAAGCAATTCCTTTATTGCCTTAGCATGAGTTCATGTACATGTAGAGGTCTGTCCGCTTGCTTTTCCTTTGCTTCAAGTAAAGTGAACTCAGCGGGAGGGGTGGCCTGTCTGGGGAGTAATGTGCATGCTTCTTTCCAGTAAACATTTTTGGGTTTTTGATCATTTGTTGGAAGACATCTTTAAAGTAGACTTGATTTAGAGCTTGGCTAAATTTGGGGCAAGAGCAGTTTTAGTGAGACAGGAGAAGGAATTTTTCCTTCTTACCTTACTACATGACCCCCTCTTGCCTTCTTAGGTATGTGTGTGTGTGAGTCTGGGTAAACTAGGGAAACAAATCCACAGAAACTCATATGTGTAAGAAAGAGTTTTATAGACAGGATAAGTGCGCATTAAGAAAGCATCCCAACCCAGT